TTCTTGCGAATTCGGTAAGGTAAGATGTCAGGGGTAGCATGGACTATTTATTTAAAATTTTTTATGGGCTCTCGGAATTGGTCAAGAGCAAAAGGAGAAGATGCACATAATAAGGATAAAGGAACAAAATATTTAGCTCTTCTTCTGAGTGAATGATGAATGATGTAGGGCAAATATACCCATAAATAAGACAGGAAGTACTATTTATCTGTATTAGAGACAGATATACCCATAAATAAGACAGGAAGCACTATTTATCTGTATTAGAGACAACTCGTTAAAATAGTTCTCTAGATATTTATAGCTCATTCAACACCTAGCAAATAGTAGTTTTAAAAACATCTTCTAATTTTTATCCAATACGAGTAACATTACAAATGTGTCAGATCTAAGAGGCTCCTCCCTGACAACACGTGAGTAGGAGTACACTCGCTTAAGAAGTCTTGCACGGGCACTTTAAAATGTGCAGAGCTATTCCATCAAACGTTGCAGAGTTTTATTTCTATTTTTTCTGTTAATGCTGTTTATGAAGCAAATTTAATTTGAAAAACATGGAAGAAATGTGGAAATGTCTTTATTTCAAATTCTTCCACTGGTTATTCCTGGTATTATAGACAGCAGCACATAGACAGAGAAGGGACATGACATAGATAAAGCAAACAAAAATTGGACAAAACATGGGAAGATGACATTTGCAATGCAGCTGACAAAGCCAGTCATTTCACTTTAAATAATATGGCAGGCTGTGAAACTATAGTAATTACTAGAATTTCATTTTCATTAACTAATAAACCAAGGAAAACAATTTAAGTATCTGAATGCATTTTTCAAATGAAAATAAACTGTAAACATTTGAATAGCATCACAGCAGGGATGATATACCTAAGGAAATCTATTGAAATATGCTGGTGGATTCATCCCCTTCTATCACATTAAAACTGCAATTGACTGTAAACCTCCTACCACTCTCCACTGAGACTTTAATTGTAAAGATTCCTGTTACATATCATATTAGAATTTAGTTAAAATTGTAGAACACATTATTTCCAATCAGACAGCCAACCATCACTCACAAAGATTTTTAAAAAGGTGATTAATAATTCAGCTCAGATAAGGAAAAGATCTATATTTATACCATCTTCTCAGCCACCATAAACTACCTGACAATTGTTCAGTAATGATGCCCAGTAAATTCTTTAAAATGGTAATTTGTCATTCTGTCACTTCATTTGTGACCTAAAATTCCTCACTTGAGGCATCATCAAATAAATTAATCACTTTCCAGGATCCATTTCTCTGTTCTGCACGTTATTATGCCCGGGCTCTCTTGTGTTTCTCTTCATTTACATATATTTAATGGCTGAGCCGTGGTTCACGATGGCACATAACGCACACATCTCATTACAGGTGAAATATTCTAACTGCCACTATCACTGGGAAAGAAAATAACTCTCCCAATTTAATTTTCCTGATGTAACAAAACCATGATTCTTCACTATGAAATGTTGATGCCATCCATCAGTCACAATCAATAAAATCAGCATCGAAGTACGCCTCCTTCAGGATCTTTCCTTCAGATGAGTATTATTTGAGGAAGGTAATTAAACTCATAATATGTAATGAATGTAAATTAAGTAAAAGTCCTAGTGTTAGCTCTCCAACTATGTTTATTTTGCAGGTTTAGTTTTAAAATTTTCCCCTCCAACATGTAAGTATGTATGCAGAGAAGCCAGTAACCTAGACAATCTTCACCAATGAACAAAATTAATTTTAAAAGAATACTTTTAATGAAAATATCAAATGGTGTAAGCGCATCTTTCCACTGGAACGGTAGTGCATCTTTGTGTTTATTTGTTTTCAGCCTTTCTGAAAATAAGGCTGGTTGTATGGATGTTTCGTGTCATGTGATAAAATGAGCTAATTTTCCAGTAACTTAATCCATCTGCTTCCTGCCTTCTATGGGCTGCAGATACCTTGTGTCCTCAAGCAAGTAATTTTCTTGTTGAACCTGCCTTATTGCCCGTCTCTGCCTAAAGAAACCTATGGAAATGTGGATCAAAGAAGCAGAACATTTCACAAACAGTGATTTGGGAATTAGGACACACAGCTACTTCCACCCATTGTAAATATCTCAAATTGTTCTCATATTATTTTAGTAAAGGTCAACAAGGAGTGTTTTAAAGTAAACTCATGTCACATAAACATTGCCCATTTTTCTAAATATGTTGCAACTTAATTTAACATTCATTAGCTGCTTCTCCCCACATACTTATGGGCATTAATTTCAGGGGAACAGTGTCTTACAGAAGTCCTTTTGGAATGAGTCATCATCAAAGAATGGGGGCTCACTTTAACTTGGAAGTGGTCCCTGTTTGCCTGTTTAAAATAATGCTTGGGAAAGTGTCTAAAATAAGTGAAATATTAACTCTACATCTCTGCAACAGAGGAGGGAGTAGGTGAATATCACTGCTCCACAGATGAATGACCCAACTACAATATTGACAAACCATCCACAGACACTACCTTCCTTCCTCATTAATTATCATATAGTTATTTTTAATGGGCCCTTATTTAAGGATGAAAAAAAGACTGTGTGTGCAGTTTTCCATGTGTTTTCATTACCGCGGCAGCATTCTGTTAACCTAAAGCTTTGCTCTAGTACACAGAACCTGTCAGATTTAGCTGCAAAATAGTGGATGACTTTTTTTTCCTTTTTACTTCTTTTTGTGTGTCATCAGCTCAGGCTGAAGGTACATCTGAGAGTTTTGCTAGCGGTTCCAGCGTAATACAGGACAGGGGTCCCAAGTGAGAGGATGATCAATGCAAGGATGGTGGTAGTGATGATGGCATGGGTTAGAAAATAAACTTCTACCACAATCAAGCTCAACTCCATCAAAATAACCATAGAGGTCTGCAAGACGTTAAAGGCGCTTGCCACCTAGGACCTGAATTCTATGCCCAGAATCTACATGGTAGAAGAAGAGAACCAGCTCCTGCAAGTTGTCCTCTGACTACATGCATGACACAGATGCATGCAGACACATGCATAAAATATAAATAAATTTTATTTTTCAAGTTTTGGAGAAAATAAGAGAAGAAGACAGTAGTGTGTTTCAGGAGCCTGTGTGACTATTGGGAATCCTCAAGAAAACCATAACCCTGTAACAGCAACTGTCCTGTAGTAAAACAAAGACAAGCAAAATAGATTAAACTCGTCTGTAAGACAAGAAAGGGAGAGATGGGGTTATTTATGAAGCTTGAATGAACTGTATGCACTTTAGCAAAATTGGCACTTTGAATATTTAATGAACTGCAGTATGTTTTAAAGAGAGATGGAAGATGCCAGTGAAGAAAATAGGCATGCATGTGAATAAGCCTTGTGAGATGAACAAAAAAGAAAGATCATTGCAGATACAAATGCATTTATTAATATTGTTGATCGTGCTGCCAGAATCAGTGATAGTTCACCATGTGGAGGAATACACTCAAGAAAAGCAAACCTTTGGTGAGAATGGGAACAGTCAGTACCCTCCCTTTTCAAAAGAAAAACCATTTTCACTGCCCTCTTTGCAACAATACTGAAAAGAAAAAAAAAAAATCTGCACCAATAGGATCCCTCAACATTTCACTTAGAAAAACCTGATCACTGAGGAATGTGATAAGCTACAAGATATCGCTACTGCAATTGGTACTTCAAACATTATTTTTCAAAGCCACAGGAATTGTGAGACCATGGTCAAGTCCTACGACTCAGTCACTAAAATAAATGTTTTGTGATAATTTTCAATTAAGTCAAAGTATTCATGGAGCACATCATAGTAAATTCAAGGTAGAAAGCTTGTTCAAATATCCTGCAATGCTGAAAGACCAGTGGTCTTTGTGAGTTTAAATATCAAGATCTTCCTGGGACAGCTCATTCATAATTTGGATTATTTCAGAAGGTAAAATAAACACTCAAAAGAGGCCCAGAGAGACTGGGTTTGGTTTACCAGTTAACCATATAATTATGCATAACCTATTTTTTTTCTTTTAAATGTTTTTTTCTCCTGAGTTTTCCCCATTATAAAATGGAAATTAAACAAAAAGAAACATAATTTACAAAGTGGCTTTTAAATTTGTAAGTAAATAGGGGAAGAGGATTTATAAACCCTTGACTATTGGGCTAAGTTACATTTCCTTTTCTTTAGTATTGTATTGGTTTTCTAATGCTACCATTAAAAACTAACATGGACTAGACGTGTTTAAAAAAATGCATTTCCCTCCAGTTCCGAAGGCTAGACATTCACAAAATTCTTGACAAAACAGCCATGTACATGCCATGTAGTTACAAGACATGTGTGTGTATGCGTGTTCTGCAGGCTAGACAATCACAAAATTCTTGACAAAACAACGTGTACATGCTGTGTAGTTACAGGACATGTGTGTGTATGCGTGTGCTCATGTGTTTATGTTCATGCATGCTCACATCCCAACTGGCATCTTTTCTTCAGATAAGGACAAAGGGTATTTGATTAGCTTTCCACCAGCATAATCTCAAAATCTTTTTTTTTTTTTTGTGGGGGGAGGGCAGGTTTTTATTTCCCTTACATGTAGGATGGTTCACAAACACAGCAGACAGGCTGTGGGGGAGGAGAGCATCCTGCCTCTTAGGGTAAGAGGATCTTGGCCTTAGTGTACCCTGAAAAGGGAACTGAAGGTGATTTCACTCTCCTGCCCTTCTTCCTGGGGCCTGAAGGGCAGAGCTCTTTCCACTCCTTCCACCCCTCAGCCTGGAAGCCAACATGGTGACATTGTAATCCTAAGCACTGTAAGTGGTAGAGGGAGCGGCCTGGTCCCAACCACTGTAGGGAGGTGTAAAAGGTTCAGGGAGGGACAGTGTGGATTAGGCCACAAGATGAGGCAGGTGACATATCAGACACTTGTGACTGGTAGGAGCAGTTACTAAAGGCCTTGGCAACCTAGTCCTAGCCTGGTGGGCGCAGAGAGGAGATGGGCGGTGCTTACTGTTTGAGATTGACGATGTCCACAAATTCCGGCTTCAGCAATGGGCCACCCACGAGGAAGCCTTCCACGTCAGGCTGGCTTGCTAGCTCTCTGCAGGTTACTCCAGTCACAGAACCTCCATAAATGATTCGGGTGCTTTGAGCCACCGTATCACAGGCATTGCATTTCAGCTGTCCCCGGAGCTTCTCGTGTATTTCCTGAGCCTGCTGAGATGTTGCCACCTTGCCAGTCCCAATGGCCCACACAGGTTCAGAGGCCAGGACGACTTTGCTCCAGTCCTTCACATTGTCTGCGATGATCTTGGTTTGCTCGAAAACAACCTCCTCCATGACGCCAGCTTCTCTTTCATCTAACTTCTCCCCAGTGCAGGTGATCACCCCAAGTCCACTACAAGGACACGGACCGCTTTCTGCCCAATCAACTCATCTGTTTCCCTAAAGACATGCCTTTTCTCCAAGTGCCCAGTATTATGTATGTGGCTCCTGTCTTTGGTCATGCCAGGGCTGATCTCCCCAGTGAATGCTCCGTTGGTCATTTTGTAGCAGTTCTGTGGGGCCCTGGCAATTTTGGGATCTAGCTTCTGTCTGGAGAAGTCGATGGGGCACAGAAGTGCACAAACCACCTCAGTGTCTGCTGACCCCTTGGCCACATTCAAGGTGCCGGTGAGTTCTCCCAGGCATTTCTTCCTCCTGCTCATCTTCTGGTTGCCCCCCCCCAACACACACACAACTTCCTACAAATCTTTATAAAGCTTATATATCCAAATAATCCTATTACTGCTGGTGATGACTTGAGCTTTAGAATTGGAAACATGGTTCAATTTATTTATTTTTATGTTTTTATTATTAATTTATTCGCTTTACATCCCAATCATAGCCACCTCCAGCCATCTTCTACAAGACTCACCTAACCTCCCTCTTTACCCCATCCCTGTCCTCTAATTCTCAGAAAGGAGGTGTACTCCTCCCTTACCAACTGACCTCAGAGTATCATGTCTCTTCAGAACTACCTACATTCTATTCCTCTGTGGCCTGGCAAGGCTGTTTTGTCCAGGAGAAGTGATCCAAGAATAGACAACAGAGTTCATGTTAGAGACAGCTCCTGGTCCCCTTACTATGTGATATACATGGAGACTGAGCTGCATATCAGTCTGAGCAGGGAGTCTAGGTCCTCTCCCTGCATGGTCCTTGGTTGGTACATCAGTCTCTGCAGGCTGCCCCTGGGCCCAGATTTGTTGATTCTGTTGGTCTTCTTGTGGAACTCCTGTCCCCTGCAGATGCTTCTATCTTGGCACTTTTCCATAAGACTCCCTGTGCTTTCTCCAAAGTTTGGCAATCTGTTTCAGCTTCTGCTTCAATTCCCTGATAGGTGGAGTCTTTCAGAGGACATCTATTGTAGGCTCCTGTCCTGTTCTCTCTCTTCAACTGGTTCTGGTGTCTATTCTGTTTTCCCTTTTGAATAGGAATTAAGCATCCTACCTAGGGTACTCTATGTTACTTGGCTTCTTTAGGTCTGTGAATTGTATTATGGTTATCCTGTATTGTATGGCTAATATCTGCTTATAAGTGAGTCTATGCCATGTGTGTCTTTCTAGGTCTGGGTTACCTCATTCTGATGCTTCAGTTTAGAAACATGTGTTTATCTAATTCATCACAAAAAGAAGAAAAAACTTCTTAAGGTCACTATAGGAAACATTGGTTGCTCCATCATATTTGATTCTGTCTTCCATACTGTAAAATTTTATGACCCTTTCTCTTGTAACTGAGATCGGACTGATCCATTTAATCATTTGATTGAGTATACATGAAAATGTGAACTCTAAGTGCAAGGCTCTTGACAATCATTTTCTGTGCCACTGTAACTTTACCCTTGATGTGAAAGTGTTGCAGGACTAAAACTACCTACATGGCTGGGTCACCGTCTACAGGGAAGCTCCCTGCTACAAACTTTGCATGCATACAAAAGAATCTTGTTTCATTACAACCTTGTGGTAAACACATCCAAAAGTAATGTGTGATGAATTACGTCCACATACAAATTTATTTACATTGAGTGTAGAAAGGAAAGATGACTTGTTTTTACCAAGAAAATGTGGGAGAAGTAATGCGGGTGTCAACTCCTTGAATAGTTCCTGGTGCAAAGATAAATAAGACATTAACATCCATGACTATCTTTTAAAGGATTTTTACTCTCCAGAATGCGGGAAGAGACTCCACTGTCACCTTCAAGAAAGTAGATGCTATGATATAAACAGGCCAAGAAAAGAAGATACTACAAGAAACTCCTGAAAATTCTCTGTATTTTCAGAGGATCTCTTTATCTACAGCTAGCAAAAAGTTGTACCCCCATCCTTAAAAATTCAAACATGTTTAGCCAGTGGATTATCCTCTTATAGATAATATCCACTTATACGTGAGTTCATACCAAGGTGTGTCTTTCTTGGTCTGGGTTACCTCACTCAAGATGATCTTTTCTAGTTCCTTTCATTTGCCTGAAAATTGCATGATGTCTTTGTTGTTAACAGATGAGTAGTATTCCATTGTGTAAATGTACCACATTTTCTTTATTCATTCTTTGGCTGTTTCCAGTTTCTGACTATTATGAACAAAGCTGCTATGAACATAGTTGAGCAAGTGTCCTTATGCTATGGTAGAGAATCTTTTGGGTATATGCCTAGGAGCGGCATAGCTGGGTCTTGAGGTAGATCCTTTTCTAGTTTTTGGAGAAACCTTCAACTAATTTCCAAAGTGGTTGTACAAGTTTGCACTCCTACCAGCAATGGAGGAGGGTTCCCCTTTCTCCACATCTTCAGCAGCATGAGCTGTCACTTGAGTTTTTGATCTTAACCATTCTGTTGGGTGTAAGATGGAATTTCAGAGTCGTTTAGATTTGCATTTCCTTGATGACTGATGATATCGAACATTTCTTTAAGTGTTTCTCAGCCATTGGAGATTTGTCTTTTGAAATTCTCTGCTTAGTTCTGTACACCATTTTTAAATTGAGTTATTTTGTTTGTTGGTGTTTAGTTTCATGAGTTCTTTATATATATATATATATATAAATTTTGGATATTAGCTCTGTGTTGGATGTAGAGTGGGTGAAGATCTTTTTCCATTCTGTAGGCTCCCTTTTTGTCCTATTGACAGTGTTCCCTTGCCTAGAAGAAGCTTTTCAGTTTCATGAGATCCCATTTAGTAATTGTTGATTTTAATGCCTGAGCTGTTGGTGTTATGTTCAGAAAGCTGTCTCCTGTAACAAAGGAGGATGCTTGAATCTCACTCAAAAGAGAAAATAAACAGACATCTGAAATAGACAGAGGAAGGGAACTGGGTAAGAGTTGGGCTACAGAGGGGAACTGAGGCTGGCATTAGGTATGAGGAGAGTAGGGGGTAAGGGGAGAACTGCGAGAGAGAACAGACATCTATGGGTTCATCCCTTGGAGAGAGGAGGCTTCTGGGATTCTATGGGGGTGATTCTAGCTGAGACTCCTAGCATGGGTGGTTAAGGAACCTGAAATCGCTACCACCTCTTGCCAAGTGGGACTTCCAGTGGAGGGAAGATGACATCAAACCACCCATAAATCCTTCAACCCAAAAATTATCTTGCTTCCAAGAAGTATATGGTTAAATACGTAGCAGAATTGAAGGAATGACAAATCATTGACTGGCCCAACTTGAGACCCATCCCAGGGGAGGGTGCCAACCCCTGTCACTATTAATGATACTCTTCCATGCTTGCAGAGCCTAGTCCATCTGTCCGAAAGGCTTCATTCATCAGCTGATGAAAACAGATGCAGAGACAAAACCGGCAAACAACAGGCTGAGCTCGAAAGATTTGTAGAAGAGGGAAGGATGGATAGAGGAAGCTGGAGGTGTCAAGGAGATCACAAAAAGACCTATGAGTAAACTAACCTGGGACCATGGGGCACAGAAAGACTGAACTACCAATCAAAGAGCATGCATGGGCTCGACCTATACCCATATACACATATGAAGCAGATGTGCGACTTAGTCATCATGTGGGTCCCCTAAAAATAGGAGTAGAGGCTGTCTCTGCTTCTGTTGCCTGCCTCTGAATCTCTTTCCCCTGGCTGGGCTGTCTTGTTAGGACTCAGTGGGAGAGGATGCTGTTAGTCCTGCAGTGACTGCAGTTAGACTGCGGGGTGGGTTGGTACCCTTCGGAGGTTTTCTCTTCTCTGAGAAGAAAAAGAGAGTGTGGGGGAAGGGAGTTGTAAGGATCGGACAGGGAAAAGATAAGGGAAGGGGCTGGAATCAGGCTATAAAATGATTAAATAAATAAATAAAGATTCAACCATCTAGGTTCTGCCAACTGTGTCCACATGGGAAACAACTCCTACCTCTAAGATGAAATACAGCTTTCTCAATACACTGTCTATACCCCTGTACAGTACTGAGAAGAACACACCACCAAGCTGCGTCCAGGCTTCTATTCATTACAATTAGAAGGCAACAGAGGCATATTTCTTCAATAAATGATTCTTCAATAATCTACCAGCAGTAGTAGAAACTTGACAGAATCATTCAGACTGTTTGTCTGAACAACATAATCTCTGATGAATGGCACTGAGAAAAATTCACAGGTAAGAGCAATAACACAAATTGTCAAAGCAATCGGGTGCGTAGCAGCTTAATTATAATAACTGACATAAGTGCAGAACAAACTCATTCAGAAGGTGGCAGTCCTTGAATGGAGGTATCCCACCACACCAACCTCTCACACAGGTGCCATGAACAAAAAATGAATTTGAATTTCAGGACTCATTGAATTCCAGGACACCTTGGTGCTTAGACAGCTATCAAAAATACTGGACTTCCAAAATAAAATCCTCACATGCCTGTAAATCACCAGTTCAATAAATGCAAAATGTATTTATTACATTGTAATTAAACATAGGGTCTTTGTTACAAATGCCATCTCTTCCCTTCACAACTACAACTTCTTAGCTTGTGCACCATGATCCCAAGTCCCATATTTCCCACTCAGTTCAAAAAGAAAATACACTAAAATAAGCATTGTCCCAGTAAGAATACTAGAGTACTTTTATTGTAACGTAGTTTTCCTCTCATTATTCACAGCCGTTAAAAATATATTAACGGCTGTGTTTGCTGATGTGTAGAGGAAATATGAACACAGTCCATACCCATAGGAAACTGCTTGTCAGCTGCTCATGTGTACTTACAGAAAAGAGACAGATACAGTTGAAATAGTTAAATCTACAATTTTTAGACATGCAAAGAAGTAAATGCTCTAGTGCTTAGACGGGGACTGACTAATGAAACACAGAATGGGATCTTCAAGCATGGCAAATTCAAAGAGAAGCCTGTAACAAGTGTCTTTGTTTTGTTTGGGGATTTGAGCACTTAAAAAAAACAAACAAACATCAGAGAGTGCCTTCTTTACTTCAGAAGGGGATTGTCTCAATGAAATAAGTGATAAAGTACAATATTTTCTCTATACTAAAGAACATCAAGAGATAATTACAGCAAATAAATAGTCTCTGTGCTTCTTGCTACTAAAATTTATCATACAAGAATTCCTGTTCCCCTGTCAACTGATTTAGTAGCTGTGTGTTGTTGCTGCTTTCAAGAAGGGCATGAAAGCAGACCTCCTTGACATAATGCATTGGGTTTTGTCTCTGATGAATTTTTCTAACATTTCATTTCTAACGTAGTCCGCTTTTCTTTCTCTGACATCTCACTGCATTGAGTGCTA